CCTCATTATAATCATCAGTTCACCGAGTATGAAAGCAGTGTTCTTTGCATCCCATCCAGGAGTTAACCACCCTAGCTACAATCCCTGTATCTGTTCCACAACATTACACTTCATAGGACACTTAGAACTGAAGCTTTGATAAGGGGTGAAATGGGTTGGTTTGTGTGTGTGTGTGTGTGTGTGTGTGTGTCATGGTGGTCTGTGCTACGCTGTGTTAGTGTGTGTAATTACAGCTCTGAGCGCCAAGCCAAAGCTCAGCACAGTTCGGCTCAGCTCAACTCAGCTCAGCCCCGCCGCTCAAGGTCAAACACCTGATTCAGTCTCTACAGGCCGAGATACTGGAGGCGACAGCAGGGCGGTCTTTGGGACAGCTGTGCCATCAGGTAATGATCAAGTGTAACATCATTATTGTTTTAAATATCACAGCTTTGTTTGTTTTTGCTAATTTATTGGGTGGTTTTACAATGGACAGCTCTAAGTGTCAAAGGCCCATGGCTGGTTTCCTGTACAGCTGTGAGGTGCCTCAGCTATCTGAGCTGCCTAAATAAGTGATATCTCTATTCAACCCGAGGCCATTTTTCACTCTATTTGCCTATATCTTGGCTACAGTAATATAACAGCATAACAAAACTACAATATATACATTCAATGAATTGATACTTCCATTATCAGAATTAGCTAGGTTACTGAGAAATGTCACCATTTGACAAAAACTAAAAAAGTAAAAAAAGAATAATAAAAATTGTTTGCAAAGTTTTTAACACAAACATCTGTATAGGAATGGATAGAGTAGAGTTTCAATGTTCTAGTGATAAGCCTATAAGAACCATGCACCACTTCTATATTTAATACTATCAGAAAACAGTACTGTACTGTAAATCATATAACAGAAAAATATATTTTTTAATTTTTATTCCTTTCATTTTGGGTGAACATGTTTAAGTTCTTGCCGGCATTCATTGTGTGATAAATATAACGTTGCCATGGAGTCAGTGAATTAGCTCTGCACTATCTTAACTGAAATGTTTTGGCAGCCTACATTTTGCTAAATCTGGCCACCATGAAAGGTGATGCTGAATCATCTACTAGCAGTTCCTACTTGCACTGTAACCATGTATGTGAAAACAATCATCCAGATTGCTTTTTATACTGCAGCGAAAGTCTACATTTAATGTGAAATGATTTTGAGACTAGATCTGAAGTTAGAAGTTGTGTGTTTTTGTAAATGATTTCTTGGTGAATTTATGGACATTTATCTTTGATGGACATCTATTAGTGAAAAGAAGAAGCTACGTAGATTTCAACAGTATGTATGACAAATTATGATGCTGAGAAGAGGAAGAAGAGAAGCAGTTAATCTACATGATATGAAATTTATTGGAACACAATTGATTAAAATTAGGTTCAAAGTTCAAATTCATCATTAAAGATGCGTGAATTGATTATTGTACACTTGGAGGCACTTGAAAAAGCATAAAACACAACACTTGAATATCAAAACTTAATAAAGTGGGGTAACGTGTTTGCAAACAATTGCCTATTTACACATCCAGCATACACAAATCAACGTTAGCATTAATTATAAGTCATGTTTCTGTGCATTTAATTAATGCAAGTCTAATATTCACTCTTATTTTAGCTCCGTTTTGGTCTCCACCAATTCCTAAAGTCTGTCTATCTGTTATCAGTTGCTAAAACAGCTGACTGCTGCAGCTTTACACTGGGTTGATGTGGGCAGTGTTGCTGGCTAGAAAACTAGCAAATTTGTGACTTGATTTGATTAATACCTTCCGTATAGCTGATGAGGTCTGCCGAGTCGGACGTCATTAAACTACATAGTCATTTGATGCATTGTCAATTTAATAATACTGATTAGTGCAGCTTTAAAATGGAATGCTTACTTTCATTTAAATATGTATAAGTCATATTTGTTGTGCAGATGTGAAATTATGTGTGTATCTGCTTTTGAGAGTGTTACACTTTACTTACCTTGTTCACAGTTAACCCCCTTGTAGGCTGGACTACATATGCAGATCCCTTGAATGCAGGAGCCATGGTTGGAGCAGGTGGGGTCGATACACTGACCTTCCTCCACATTACACTCTGCCCCCTTCCACCCTGCCAGGCACACACACCTTCCTTTCTCATACACGCCGTTACCGCTGCACAACACGGGGCACGAATCTGCAACAGGACAAACACAGATTACACCCACATATTCAGTAGTACACACATGCAAACACACACAAAGTGCTGCAGTATATTAGCTGGGAGACTGCAGTAACCTACCGTGAGTGGGGCTACGCTCTCTTATCTCAGCTAGTGCGCGGATTCAGCAAATCCTCAAGCAGCCCCTGTCTCCCTCTCTTTCTCTTCACACACACACACACACACACACACACGCACCTATACACACACACACACACACACTCCAGCTTATCCCTCACGCTGTTTCAATTTACTCAAGCACCACCTGAGCCTGGCTACCACGGCAACCCAGGAATTGTAGAAAATCCCCCCAACGTCACCTCACTCGCTCTGAACAGGCCGTGAAAACAATCGTGAAAACGGAAGATTAGGAAAGAGAGCATTAGGGGTTTATAGAATGAGGGTGGAAAGCGCAGCTATCTCCATGCAGAGATGGAGAGCTGTGTGGCTAATGTAATGACAGCCAGGTAGAATAAAGTCAGTGAGTGTCTGTCTGATGATGCACTGACAGTTACACCCCCCTCCAATCCCACCGCCTCCCTCATTGCAGCTGGAGGAGGTATGGCAGCTCCAGACTTCAAATGGATTAGAAAGACGATCCAAAACCAACTGCTTTTTTCTGGGATAATTTGCAGTGATGGCCCTGTGCGGTAATGCATGTGGGCATGTGTTATGTGTTTGTTTGATCCTTTGTTAAATCTAACAGTACCCCACAGTGAAATTCACTTTTTACAACTCTTGCCAAAACTTGCTGTCTAACTTTTTTCAAACTGAGAATATCATATCACCAGCAAATGAGCAAAGATGAGAGGAACAAATGAATAAATGATGAGCCTAAATAAATCATAGGACGTGATATCATATCAGCTGTTACTACACAATGAGACAGGTACAACTACATTAATTTTACAAAGAAGGACAGAGGGAGAGAGAGTGATAAACAGAGGCAGAGAGAAAGCAACAGGGAGAGAGGAGATACAGAGACAGAGAGAGAAACAAATGACAGAGTTAGAAGTGTAAAGGAGACAACTGGAGCGGGGAAGATTATATGGAAAGGTTACAGTTAAAGGATGGTAATGTTCTGTATTTTTCTTTTTGTCAACAAATGGCATTAAAAGACTGAAACCAACAATGACTGACAAGTATTGCCTATGTAGTAAAATACATTTTATTCCTCTATGCAATAGAACATCACTGTTTTACAGTTTTAAAATATCAATTAGCCAAACTTTTGCAATGGGTGACATGTTCCTTCATAACATGAACATAGACACCGTAGTTTATTTTCAATCCCACATACTCTAAATTCTGTGATAAAAGCTAAAATAATGGCCTAGTCTTAAAGGAAAGTCAAGAGTGTGGCCACCACTAACTAATAAACGCCAGATAAAAAAAAACACTACCTGCACTTATATAATATATTCAGCATAATGTGTATTTCATCTCATACTCACTAATCTGCTACTTATCTACAGAGGGACGGGGTCCTCTTCCATGGATTTGCATGTTTTGCAAGTTTTGGTGAGCGGTATTCAGTTGGTAGCAATCTCTAACTTTACCGCTAGATGCCACTAAAACCTACACACTGGTCTTTAACTTCACTTGCTCCCACTCTAACATTTTAAGTGCTTTGAATAAAAAACTCAAAACTTCCTGCAGATCTTTCAAATTAACATCTGCAGGGGAGTTTGCCCTTTGAATCGCTACAAGGCTTTTAATAAGAAAACGTGTAGGAAGTTCTATTGACAGTAGCTTAACAGCGCCTAAAAAACAGCAGAACAGGGGAAATAGTTGGTGAACCTGTTTCTGTTGAAGGAGAGAAAGAATCAGAGTGGTGAGTACACCTGACTCTGTATGGTGGCTAATGGAACTGCTGCTGTGGAAATGTATAATATACTGAATTGATTAAGACCACTGGTGAAAATGTGTTTTTATTAACACAAACCGGCATCAGTAGCTAATTAAAATGGGAGCCTATCAGAAAACATTAGGGTGGTCCTATTAAGATATGAAAAAATATGCTAATAAAACAGGGGAAACAAGCGATTGTATATATCCTGTCATTCTTCGATAAGCTATACTGCGCAATAGTCATGGTGCTGTAAATAACTGCTAGTGACCAAATACATATTAACAGCTTGAAAAAATTATCTAATTTTTTGAGTAAATTTGGCCCTAAAACTAGCCACCTAACTTAGTAAATTACCTTTATACCATTATATCATTAAAAAAAAAAATGACAGTAGAAGTTAATGGGCTTGGGATTGAGGGTCACACAGTAGGGAGGTCAGAATGTATTGAGAGATAAACTAACAAAGTGTTGGTTTTGGTGTTTTTTGGGGCTTGTTACCATTAGGAAAAATACTGAACAATGCCATCCTTATCCTTTATCAAATATCTCTTACCTTTGGCACAGTCAGGACCCAAGAATCCAGCGAAGCAGTGACAGTGTCCAGCCACACATTCTCCGTTTCCATTACAGTCGGTGGAGCAACCATCCATTGAGTCTGCACAGCCACACACATATACAAACATTCACACACACACACACACACACACACACACACACACACACACACACATTCACAAATCAAGACATAAAATATAGAGAAAAAAAA